TCTCTTCAATTCTACTCCTTTGCCCTTTCAGTGTATTTTCCATTTCTGATATTTTATTATTATTGAATCTCTTTTTGAAGATTTTGAATTGTTTCCAATGCTGTTCCTGTCTTATTTGATTGTTCCTGTAGCACTTTTTGAGTTCTCCCTTATTTTTCTCAAACCCTCTGTTCAGTGGTTGGGTACATCTCAGTATCATTATGTTGCTTAATTAGAATCCAGCACTATTAGGTAGACATCATATATTCAGAGTCTCAGAATGATGGAAACTGAGGCAAAGAGAAGTGAAGTGGTTTGATCAATGTCACACAATCAATTTGTAAAGTAGTATCATGGATCCACATGTTTTGACTCCAGGGTTTGTGATTTTAACAACTTGTCTGTGACTGGATGAAACTCTAATTCATAAATGGATGAAGGTTAATTAGCGTTTGGAGTAGTATTAGTAAAGCTTCTTTCTTGAGAGGTACTGAAAAAATTGGGAAGCAAAAGAGTTAAAGTCCTTTAGAAAGTGGGAAGTTTTTAAGTAAATGAGAACCAGCCTCTCATCCTGTGAGATGGGATGACCTTGAATATAGCTCATAGCACCATCTCCTCAAAGTGCTGAAGAGACTAGAATCTAGAGTAGATTTCCATCTAGCAGACTGGGAATACTAGCAAATGTTTCTGAGATTGTAACACAGATGAGGACCTGAGTCAGATAAGATGAATGTTCTATATGGAAGGAGAGATGCTTAGACCCTAGTTTCTCTTCATGGAAATGGTATCATATACATTGTAGAGCTCAGAGATTTTGGAGACTTCTGGTTCTCTTTTCTTCCCAACAAAAATGGTGTTTTGTGAAATACACCATTTAATTGAGCCTTGGTTAATAACGTCTGTTTGTTTTTAAGTGTTGTCCAGTCATTTCCAACTCATAGTGACACATATGAGCAGCTGGTGCATTTGAACTGCTGACTTTGTGATTCAAACCAACCTTGCAGTCCAGTGCATTGTACAAGAGTTCAATTCAGTGACCCTTGAAAATTCAGCCCTGAGTCTGAGTCTAAGGCTTCTCTCACAGGGCATCCTGAGGATGGTTGCTCATGTGCAGAGAAGAGGGAACAAAGCCTCTCTGCAGCTGGAAGCCCAGCTGGCCCCACCCACCTGCTTTGCATATTCCTTCCAGTCCCCCTGGTCCTCCAGAGCCAATATGAATGCTGGGTCTGTACACAGGGGAAGATCTGTCTTCATGGACAGTTAATTCTCCTCCAGTGTGCACTGCTGGGTTCAAATTGGAGATCATTTGGCTCCATCCCCAGAACTTAATTACTGTGCTAGCAAGACCCCTTAATGGATATTTTGGAAGGCAGAAAGTTTGAAGACTAAGACATAGCTTTTTATTTTATAGCATTATAAGAAAAGCACAAAGGAACAAAACATACAAAGTGGAATACATTTAAAGTGTAAATATAGCTTTGTGGAAAGATGATCTATGAACCAACTCACCACTCAGTTCCTCAGTTGATTCTATTCCAGTCAAGGTGCTGGATGGATAGTGCCCCTGAGAGCTAACCACCCTTAAATGAAGGCCCATGGAGATGTCAGTAATAATGACAGACTACTTTGAGAAGTTTAAATGGAACCCTTGACCCATTTCTTATCTTCCTATATATGAAGCCTCCTTTTGAACCGTGGCCTCATGGCTGAGGAAGCGCAAAGCACAGGCCATGAAAATGACCTATGTTCTCACATTAAAATAAGAAATTGGAGCCCTTGCAAGTTCCTTATTCTAATGACAAATGAGACTCAATCCTATGAAAAAGAGAAAGAGACCTCTCCGACTTTCTTTTGATAAACCAGACTCTAGACCCAGCCTATAACTTCATAATATTATAGTTTATGCTACAGCAGATTATAAAAAATGCTTACCAAGAGTTGCAAACTCACGTAGTGAAGCATAAAATGAATTCTTTTTTTCTTTGGGCTATAAGTTCTCTATCAGTAAGGACAATTTTAAACTCCTTGTTAAGTCCTTTGATTTGAATACTCTTTCAAAGTGTAATTAACTGGGTTTCAGTAAAAGACAGTTTCTCAGATTGGCATGTAACATTTCTAGAAAGTTAACCGGGCAATTTAGATGGTAAAGAAACTTAATCTCAAATCAATTCCTTTATTTAAAGACACACTATGAAGAAATGGTAGCGTAGTGGTTACGAATCGGGCTGCGAACCTTAAGGCCGCAGTTCGAAACTACCAGCGGCTCCACGGGAGAAAGATGAGACGTTCTGCTCCCGTAAAGATTTACAGCCTCGGAAACCCTGTACAGGGTCGCTATGGGTCGGAACCGACTCCATGGCACTTAACAACAACAACAACATGAAGAAATGAGCCCTTTGTTTTTCAAGATATCCTCAGTGAGAAACTGACCACCCATCTGCATATCAACAGGGTCTCTGGTGAATTCTTAAAGTGACAGAGCCATGAGCAATGACTCCTTTCTAGAAATTCAGTCTTCCATAGATAACAGACCCCACTGATGAGAGCACCCAAGACTTAATCTCTTTTCATCCAAACACAGACCTAGTTTATGATACTTTGCTCACAGGGGAGACACACCTTCCACTTTCCACACTTTTGTGCCCACCACAGGATTTGCATATTGTACCCATGGGAAAATCTGCCTTTGCAAATTTGAGATAAAAAGACGATTTCCATCTGTCTTTACTTATCAGGACTCCTCAGTTCAGCTTCTTAGAATGATGGTCCCTGCTCAGCTCCTGGGTCTCTTACTGCTCTGGATCCCTGGTGAGGACCTAGGGGAGATGAGAAAGAGAAGGGATTGGGAGCGAAACTTTGGGGGCATCACTGGTTCACAGATGGACTCTGTAGGTGTGGTGAATGCACACATTTTATCCTTTAAAGGACATAAACCACTTTTTTTGTGTAGATGTGAAGAAGAAATGAGAAGGAGCCAGGATGGTTTAGTCAAACTAGATATTTTGAACTATGAAAAAAAAAAAAAAATAATGAAAGCAAAATTTTAAAAATATATTCAATCCATAAGATAATAGCAACAGAAAGAATCATGACAATGGCTGATGATGTTTGCACATAACTTTGACTTCTCTGTCATTCTTTTAGCAACAAGTGGGGATATTGTGATGACCCAGACTCCACTCAGCCTGTCCATCATGCTTGGACAGCCAGCAACCCTCACATGCAAGTCAAGTCAGAGCCTTGTACATAGTGATGGAAAAACCTATTTGTACTGGATCCAGCAGAAGCCAGGCCAAGCTCCACATCCCCTGATCTATCAAGTTTCTAACCGGTACACTGGAGTCCCAGACAGGTTCATTGGCAGTGGGGCAATTACAGATTTCACTCTTAAAATCAACAGAGTGGAGGCTGAGGATATTGCCATTTATTACTGTATGCAAGTTATACAAACTCCTCCCACAGCCCTGCACAAAAACTTGTTTTGGCATGGCCCAGTTGCCCAAACTTGTGTGGTTTTTCTAAAAGCAGACATTGCACACTGTCTAGTCTGATGACTAGAGGATGTGGTAGAACTCAAGGCACTGGGTTGTGACTGAGGGCAGGTTATGAGGCAGATTTATATGGGAAGGATTATATCTAGCACCAGCACATAGTCATGGTTCAGCTTGTATACACTACTTCTATTTGATTATTACAATCCCCATGAAGGGGATTGAAATCCTTGCAATGAAACAAATAAATGAAATAAATTTATGACTTGGTGGATCAGACACAACTTAGTCATAAAGGGAAGAACACATCACATGACTGTCTGATGTCCTATGGCCAAGGCTTGTTTGGTTTTGTCAAGGGTTAAGGAAGTCTCTGTGTCCTGTTGTAGCACTGTGACATTTGACGGTACTCAACAACAACAACAGTGAAAACTGCCCAGATACAGATTATTAATTTATACTAAATATTTTATTGTGTTGTGTTGAGACTTTGCACAGCAAATTACATTCCCATTTAACAATTTCTATTCATATTGTTCAGCAGCTTGGGTTCTATTTTCTACACTATATCAGCATTCTTATTTCCAATGTGGTTGTTCCATTCCTGCTGATGTAGATTCCTTATAATCCCCATCTCCATCTTTGCTAGAGATCACATGATAGAATTTTGCAGGACTAATGATTTGTTCATTGCAAATACCTTTTTTTAAACAACATAAAAGATTACTATACATATGGACATCCCTGTATGGAATACATGGGAATCAAATTGATTACATCTGTGAGAAGACATGCTGGAGAAACTCAGTATCATCAGCCAAAACAAGGTCATGTGCTGACTGTCAGAACTGAGGGGACACATGCAAATATCAGCACATCAAGGATCATTGGACACAGATTTGAAGAAGGGGGAGGAGTCAACAGAAATCGCTTTAAATGGGACTGTTTTCTGAAATGAGCCTGGCAGGCTTACGATGGGTCTCACTAGAAGAAACACCTGAATGATCTTGAGGGGAGGGGAGAGAAGCTAGAAAGGAGGAAAATGACTGAATAAAAAGCTTTGAGTTACATCGTTAGGTATAATGGGAAAGTCTTGAAATTTCTCAGGCAGCTTTGAAGGCAAGAAGCCAAAAAGGAGGTAGTAATGTCTTACTCATATTTTGCTAAGATTTTTGTTTTGATTTTCTTTGGTGATTGTGGATACCGTTTTATTTTGGGGGTGGGGGCTCTTTCTCTCCTTGTCTTACACAAAGAGAGACAGCAATTACTGTCATTACAGCCAAGCTACAATCACACCTATAAAATCCCACCATCTGGGGCAAACCAATACCAGCTATTATACATCAAAACAGCATAGATAATCAACACCTGCTAATCCCAATGTGCATAAAAGAGTAAGAGAAGTGAAAAGAGAAGCCCATCTCCTGATCACATCGATCAGGAGGCAGAGAGCTTAAGAAGACACCAGCATACAGTCATCTAATTATTGAATATACAATAACACCACAATGTCTAGAAAGCTACACAAAATTTCTGCTCAAGTCTAGAAAGAAGACAGAGTAGGTCATGCAAATGTGCTGAGGCAGACCATAAATTTTCACTGGAAGGAGTAGAGGCTTTGGAAGTGCCTGATTAGGAATTTAAGAGAATGATATTGAGGGGCATCCAAATGTTCCATAAAAGTTGAGGAAACTTAAGGAAGAAGTCAGAAAATGCTAGAGGAACAATCAAATAAGATAGAAATAGCATTGGAAACAATTCAAAACCTGATAAAGAAGTCCAAATGATAACTACCAAAATGTCAGAAATGGACAATATATTGAAAGGACAAAGAAGTTCAATTGAAGGGATGGAAGTGAGCTTGAAGACAAATCTCTCAAAACTTCTTAGAAGAGCAAGCAGGAAAGATCATGAAATAATCTGAAGAAAGTCTAAAATTCCTGGTTGTTTTGAACTGCTTACTGTGAGATTAGCAGCCAGTTGCATAATCACTACACTACCAGAGCTCCTTC